TCGTGGGCTGAGTTCTTCTGACTTACAGACTGCACGAAAGAAGCTTGCCACAGGAACGAAGGCATTCATCTGTTCAACACTGACAATTAGTCAGCAAGACAATATTGGTATCGACTACCGGGTACTTACTTATGGCCAGTTCCTCCGCCAATCTGCGATCATTAGCACATCGACCGTAATCCAAGCCTACTATCACGTACATCAACCCAGACTGGTCTTTGCGAGATTAGACCCGATTCGGTACGGTGCTTCAGCTGCGCAGCGACCAGTCCCAGCATATCCTCACGACCTCGAAGAAGCTTCAGCCGGGTAGCGTCGTAGACGTCGGCTTGAGCTTTATAAAAGCTTTCCTGTTCATTTGGTCAGACGTATTCCAAGTTTTGTCCCTTCTTCAAACGTACCAAAGCATCTTGTTGGCTTCCAGATCCGTCTCCAGTATGAGGCTTCAAGAAGCACCCATAGATGAACTTGAGGTATGCTTCGAACGTGCTCGGCGCCTGATCTTTGCTCTTCGGTCTGAACGCCAGAGCAAACACCACCGTAAGGAAAACACCAACGAGACACAGCGTAACCGTAAGTTGGTGAAACGGGTCACTTGGAACAAAATTTGAGAGAGCCTGCATAGTTGCGACTTCACAACAAGACAGTAGAAGCAGTGATCAAGAGAGGAGAGGGGAGAACGACAACAAAACAAAAGCAACCCCACAAACACAATGGAGGGGTTATATGAGCCCTCATATTGAGTGCCCCAAGCATCATTCCGACTTCGGTTCGGTCATCATACATACCCGCATGCCCCAATAGACAAGGTCACCCCGCTGCGCAGCCTGGCGTACGGCTTCGTCCTCGTGTCTCGCGTCACCTAGCAGCCAATGACCCTCACCACATGTTCTGAAGATCGCTCAAACAGCGCCCAGACAGCCTACCAGAGTAACCTACCTCCCTTACTATCAGCATTACGGAACTGCCCTGAGTAGACTACCGCACAACCGCTAGAGGCGGCTATGCAGGGTCCTAATAGAACCGAAAGTATCTCCAGATCTTGAATAGCAAGAGTCTAGAGAGGGAACAAAGACGTCAGTCCGACCTATCGGGTGGTGGTGTTGTTGCGCGTGGGTGAGACGTGCCTGGCATGTTGGTGTTGAGACGGGGATGGTTGAGGTTGCTGTTGGTGGGGTCGGCGGCCAATCAGAGGGGAAGAGGGAGGGCGTGCCAGAATGCAGGGACGTCGAACGCATGGAAGGAGCGCGACTGTGGCTCGGCGTTGTTTCCTACATGCAAGTCACTTTGAGCTGTCGGGTGCGAGTGATGATCCCGGACGATGTCGGCAGCTGCCAGCCTTGCGCGGGCGGGTTGGCTGGGTGTGAGACGTGAGGGCGCACTGGACACTCCGGCGAACCACCTTGAAGGTATTGTAATCATCTTGTATACCAAAGTACATCTTCAATGACCATGTTGAACCAAGACTAGGCCGCAGTCTAAATCAGAGGCTCATTCTCTTCTTCGCCATGCGTGAGACTTGAGGCGCGGCTATACCACCTGGTAAGCTCATAGAATTGTTGTATCAGCGAGGTGCCTCTTCAATACACCTGAAGGTCAGAGCCAACTCGCTGTCGCTGAGCTTGTTCTTCTTCCATGCGCGTTTGCTTTAAAACTCTTGCGTCGCCGGTTGGTGGATGTGCCGGCTGACCTCCATGTGCCACTGGTGTTAGATCAAGCAGAAGTCTTTGACCAGCGCTGTGGCTCACCAGTATAAAGCGTGATTGTAGGATGGAGAGCGAATGTCAGCAACGGAAGAGGTATTTCCGGTACGTTATTCGCTTACGTCGTAACGATGCCATCTTTGTATCGTCCTAAAACTTACATATCGCCACGTTGGTGACGGCTTTAAAGAGTTGTGTTGTGCGAGATGCAAGTGTATCGAAATTCTGTAAGTATTTGCTATCGGTATCGTGGTAGGACTCGAACCCTCAGACTGGTCAATTTCAAGACCCTCAACCATCACCTATATCAGTATTCCAAGGTTGAGGTAAACGTACTGTAGGATGTCTGAATATCTCGACGCCATGTGCTACTATATTCAAGTCAACCCACAACAAATAACTGAAACCCGACCCTTGTTGTTCATAATCGTCATTTCCGCTATGGTACTATGCTGAAGGTCTAAGTATTATTACAAGCCTGGCATGAAAGTGCACGCATGCAAGCGGCCACACCACCACCCAACTACACCTTAGGCGTAGAAGTTGACTGTGTCCTTCTTCTTTGCCTGTACCTCAGCGATAGCATCGACGTAGTGCTCGTGGCTGATCTTCTGGTGACCGGTCCGGAGAGCAATCATACCAGCCTCGACACAAACAGCCTTCAACTGCGCACCACCGAACTCGTCAGTGCTGCGAGCCAACTCTTGCCAGTTGACAGCGTCGTCGACAGTCATCTTCCGCGAGTGGATACGCATAATCTGTGCGCGGGCCTCCTCATTTGGTAGCGGGAACTCGATCTTCCTGTCCAGACGTCCAGAACGAAGCAGAGCGGGGTCCAAGACATCGACTCGGTTCGTCGCGGCAAGAACCTTAACACGGTCATCGGAGGCGAAACCGTCCAGCTGGTTCAGCAGCTCCAACATAGTTCGCTGCACCTCCCTATCTCCGGACTTCTCGGAATCGAAACGCTTTGTACCGACGGCATCCAATTCGTCGATGAAGATGATTGAAGGTGCCTTCTCTTTCGCCAGGGCGAAGCAGTCACGGACCAACTTCGCACCATCTCCAATGAACATTTGTACGAGCTGTGGGCCGGCGAGCTTGAGGAATGTGGCGTCGGTTTGGGCAGCGCAGGCTCGGGCGAGAAGGGTCTTTCCGGTTCCGGGGGGACCGTACATCAGTGCACCTACGATCGTTAGCACATGTCTAGAGATGAGCACATGAGTTGCTTACCCTTCGGCGCCTTGATACCAATCTTCTTAAAACGCTCAGCCTCCTTCATGGGCCATACTACAGCCTCGACCAGCTCTTCAATCTGCTTGTCAAGACCTCCAACATCGGTATACTTCTCAGTTGGCTTTTCGTCGACTTCCATAGCCTTCACCCGACTGTCGTACTCTGCGGGTAGGGTATCGAGGACGAGATATGAGTCCTTATTCACACCAATGAGATCACCGGGCTTCAGCTTCTCATGGTCTACTAGACCGATGAGAGGCAAGAAGATGGTTTGCCGAGTTGAGGTCTTGATGACCGCCGACTTGCCAACGCGGGTGGCGTCCAGGTCAATGTTTGCTCCCTCCTCAGCCGCCTCTTCTGTGACGTCAAGATCAAGAATCTCGACAACGTTTCCGACGAGGTATGGTAGTTGCCTATAAGATATCAGTGTGTTGTCCACGAAGTCGCCTCAGTCCAGCGCTGCGGGGTGACAGCAAGCACGTCAACGACATACCTGTTGTTCTCGATCTTCTCTAGGTTGTCCTTGATCTTCTCGTTCATAGAAGCCTTCTCGTGTGTGAGCCGTTGGAACTCGCTCTTCATGATGCGCATGTCGTTCTCCAGTAACCGTTTGCGCGCGACGATGTCTCGTGTGCTTGAGTTGAGGATCTCTTCGTCGAGCTGCTCCTCCTCTGGTTCCGCATCCTGCATCTCTGCATCGCCATCAGCCTTCTTTCCGTCCTTGCCTCCGTCTTTCTTGTCGTCGTCCTTCTTCTCTTCCTTCTCGTGGCGCTCAAGGTCGTCGAGATCTTCGAGTGTGGACATGGTGGCGGTGTTGTGAGAGCGACGTTACGCGGTGTGGGGTGATAGAGATGACTGGGTCGGTGCAAGAGTGATGGTGGTGAATGACGCCGACAAAGAGGTTGTTGTGGTGCGGCGGTGATGTGGAGCTGTAGAGGCAGCTATGGATTACGAAGGTACGCACCAGTGCACGGTGAGAGACCCTAGCTCCGATTGTCTTGGCGTCTGTGAACGCCGATCCGTCGCGCGCAACAACGCGCGATAGATGGGAAGTGTCATTCTGTCAGTCTGCAGCTTGATCAAGGAAACTGCGATGGTACTAGAGGGTAAATGTAGAGATCATGCGGTTCTATACGAAAGGACCTGTTCGAACACCCGCCCGCAGGTATGGACAAGATTCAACACGTGTGATATTAGTACGATGATGCTGAGTAGGTTCAGTTTGCTAAGCAACAATGATAGTGTTTAATCGAGATGTTTCATGTGAGGATGAAAGTGATCGCACTGGTGAGGGAAACAGGAAGCAACTGCGATGGGCTTTTAGGTACACACCATCTCGTGTGCGTCAACGCCTACACATGGGTTGGAGCATTCGCATGCAAGCGAGGTGTCTGAACGTCGGTTAATAAATATCTTAGATGCCTACATAGGGCTACTTACTATTCGTTATAGTGGCCTAAAGGCCCTGTTCGAGAATACGTACACGGGCAGTATGGTCGTTGCGCTTGTCGTTGAGGGGACCGCAAAAACCCCGCGATATATTTGTTCGAGTTTTCAAAATCTTCATCCACTCCTCAACGAGGCACCTTGGCCTAATGGTAAGGCGTTGCTTTCCGGTGGCAAAGATTGTGGGTTCGAGTCCCACAGGTGTCGTTCCTTTTGCCGGGGTCATGTCGGCTTCTTTTTGCGTCTTTCTGCATCTTTTTGCCTTCCTTTCCCACCTTGACAGAATTCGCTCTTCGGATCGCAAGGTATGCCAGTGTGGTCAAGCACTGTAATCAACGCTAGCCCAGTTCTAGTATAGTCTTGAACACGGGAGGTTCGCCCAGTCATAGGTTTAAGTTGTGATGCAAAGATCCGAGGTCGTGTTCGGTGGTTAGAGAGCGCCCTTGCCATACTAAGTTCCTGACATCCGAATCTCCTTACCACCAACCCACCACATTCTTTTGTTGCACTACATGCTATTGAGTTTGGTATCTCGTGTGCAGGGATTCTGATTGATTCCCTTTCGTGCTTGATAAATCTGTGTTATGTTTACGGCAAGAGCACTCCGGTGCGCTCATGCCACATCTTTCGCCCGACGTGCCGCGCTTCACCCACCATATCTACAGGTTGGTCGAGACACACCACATTTTTTACAGTACTAACCAAAATGCTAGGCGTCAATTCGCCTGAACTCGTCCTCTGCCATTGATACGGCCAATAAGCAAAGTACGCAAGATGAGAAACAAACAGATGCTCCGCAACAGGAGGAGGTTGAACGGCGGGTTCCAGAAACACCTGGTCTCGACGCCTCCCTTGGTGTAGAGAACATGAACAAAGCCAGGCGACTACACTTTGAGGTTAAGAGACTTGCCCGTGAGCTTGATCAGATATATGGTCGACAACGCATCATCCGGAAAGTAAGCCCATATAGAGTGCGAATTGGGGCTACACCTTTTGCGTTCAACAAGCGCGCCGAATCCGAGACGCACCCTGAAGTCCGAGATGGGAAGATGTTCCTTGTCGATAGACTAATACCAAGCATCTGGTTGCGGGACAATTGTCAATGCAAAGTTTGCACGCATGACGCCACCAAGCAACGACTTCTGGATACATTTTCCATCCCCGAGGACATCTCGATCAAGTCGTACTCGGCTGAAACAAGAGGGTCTGAGACGGTTCACAGAATTGAATGGAGTGATGGACATGAAAGCGAATACTCGGGGCCTTTTCTCTCCCAAGCTACAAACAACGCGAGGTTGAAGGCCGTACAGCGTCAAGCTTTGGTCAACATCAAACCCTGGGACTCATCCATCGCTTCGGACCCACCAAAGACTCTGTATGCTAACGCGATGAATCCTAACACCAACGACCTACTTTTCAGGCTGCGCAGATTCGGATTCTGCTACGTCGATGAGACGCCTTTCGAGAACCCAGAGGCCACGAAGAAGATGCTGGAAAAAATTGCCTTTATTAGGGAAACGCACTACGGCGGCTTCTACGACTTCACGGCCGACCTAGCGAGCAAGGATACCGCATACACCAACATCGCACTAGAAGCACATACAGACACTACCTACTTCTCCGACCCAGCCGGCCTACAGGCTTTCCACCTCCTTTCCCACACCGACGGTGAAGGCGGTGCAAGTCTTCTTGTCGACGGCTTCAAAGCTGCGGACGAACTCTGGCACACGGACCGCAAAGCATATGAGATTCTCTCAACGGTGAATGTTCATGGACACGCCTCAGGCAACGAAGGCATTTCAATACAACCCTACCGTGGCTTCCCCGTCCTCGAGCACGACACTGCTACGGGCGACTTGCTCCGCGTCCGGTGGAACACGTCAGATAGAGCATCTATTGAGCTTCCTATCGAAGAAGTTGAGACATGGTACGACGCAGCTCGCAAGTTCGACGCGATACTCAAGAAGAAGGAGAATGAGTATTGGGAACAGCTTGTGCCGGGTAGAGTGCTCATCTTCGACAACTGGAGGGTGCTGCATGGACGGAGTAGCTTCACAGGGAAGCGCAGGATCTGTGGAGCGTACATCAATAGGGATGATTGGATTAGCAAGTTCAAGATGCGGCATTTTGGAAAAGAGAATGTGCTCAAGGGGTTGGCTGTAAACTAAGGATGGGAGTAAGGGGGTATCAAAGAAATATAAAGTATCGAGATGTCGTGTTACTGCGCGGATATCACTAGTCGTGTTTGTGTGGAACATATTCTCAACGGCCAAAAGTAGTGTGCTGAAACTTGATGTCTGGTTCATCAGAACTTATGTACACCCGCACTATAAGGAAACCATTCTCTTCTCTTGTATCAAACGTTTACCGAGCACCCCTCTCCTGTTCCAGCTCCAACTCAGCCTGGCGGTAGTACTTGGCAGTGTCCACGCCGTGGTAAGGGTGGTTGACAAAGTTTGGCCATGCGAGGATGTGCGAAAATGTGGAGGAGTAACGCGAGTTCCTGTGTGCAACTCCCTGCATGTACTCGGTCATCTCGGTGGTTCCGTAGAGCGACTCGCCCTTCTTGACCTTGTCGACCATCTCGCGCATGTCCATCTCGACCTCACGGCGGTTCTCGCGGGCACCGTAGAAGCGCACTGTCGTGGATGTTAGCATCCAATCCAATCTTCTCTATATCCGGACTGGCTCCACATACTGCATGACCTCGAGTAGACGAAAACGAAGGCTCCGGTAAGACCGACAGCACCGCTCAGTCGCATGATGGGTGCGAAACCGCCCTTGCCGACCATGGAGGGCGAGATCTTCTCCCAGTACATCATCAATCCGGGGCTCAAGGCTCCGAGCGCGGCACCTTGCGCCCAGTCGGACGGACGGGCATACCGAATGACTCGCTTAAAGTGTCTTCATCTGCAGTCAGTACTCGCATGCGTTGGGTATCGTAGAGAAGCGTACGGGTCATTGTCGATGAGCTGCCATGCATTAGCTACCACCACCCATTGCGCACCTTTTCGCGCTGTAATTGACTCACAGGGTACTCTCCAGTGGGGATCTTGTCCGGCACAACGGCCTGGTGCCTGACATAGGCGTCCTGAGCAGACATGGTGGTATTGGGGACTCTACTGCGGAGATGTCTGGGCGGGATCGCGAAGTGAGGTTCACACGGGCGGCAAGTGCCGCATGCGGGCTTTGGCCTAGTGGCTCAGAGCTCCCGCGACGCCATTCTCTCTACTTTTATTTCCTTGGCGCGTCACACCCCATCACCCATCGACCAACTTCGTGCGCCAACAATGCGCGCCGGCCCCTTCACGTGCGCCCAACAACGACACCGATTGCGATCATGGCTATGAAAGTGGACGACATGGAGGACGTCAAGCCCACGGGCTTGTCAATGTCAAATGGCCTCGACGGCGCGTCCGCTGCGCATGCGACCGACTCTTCCAACGCACACGCCCGCCCGACTGTCGCCGACTTGCACGGAGAGAACCATTTCGCGCAGGTAGCGAGGAAGAACTGGCTTACTGCCAAGAAGACACCGAAAGTGCGGCCCGAAGTGGTCAAGAAAGAGCTATGGGACGAGCTGGAGAATGTCGACTTCGCATACTCGTCGCTTCTGATTCTGGAGAACCTACAGCTTCTGGAGAGATACCTGTGGCCTGGATTTACCGAGGATGCGTCGAACTACCACCATCTGCTGTTGGCGCTTATGGTTAATGTCAAGAGGAGGGAGAACCTGGCGTCATGGGGTGAGTTGCTGCAACTCTTAGTATGGACGACATATACTGACATTATATAGACCACTTTGCTAGCAAGCCCGCCGAATTCTCCTCCTTCTTCCGCCGCATACTGTCCATGACCGTCGACCCGTCGCAGCCCAGCAAGATCCGCACACAGCTCGTGTCCTTCGTCATCGGCGCCTTCCAATCACTCGATAGCGGTCTTGTGCGGAAGGAGTGCGCGCCTCTGGTCGGCATATCGATATGGCAGAACCTCCACTCGGACGCCGTGCGCGAACAGTACTTCGAGGAGCACAGCATGTTGCGCAAGGCATGGAGGGCCGCATCCAAGCGATTCGATGCTGGCGACGAAGCACTACAGGCTCGGCTACGATTCGAGCGGTCTTGGATCTACACACTTCTCCTGGACTTCATCGACCGGCTATATAACAGCACTAGCAGGGAAGAGATGAGGGACAACATGGCCTACTGTGAGCGCTTCATGGAGCTTCTGGTAGACCTACAGAGCCAGCTGCCAACAAGGAGATACGTCAACACGCTGCTACAGGACTTGAACATGCTTCCGGCTATTCGATTGTCGCCCATGTACACGGACGAGGATAACGGCCTATTCCGGGACCTTTTCGACTTGCTGAGCCACTTCACCAACTTCCCTATCGAGGATCAGACCGGTCGACAACTGTCAAAGCTGGAGTATGACCAACAACATTACGACACTCTGGCGAAGTTGCAACGGACAGGCTATGCCGCCTTTCAGGAGAAGCTTCAGTTGATGGCCCTGGCGAACTACAGCAGCATCGGAAACCGAGAAGAGCTGGATGGCCATTTGCGCACACTGAGCGACACCGAGCTCGTTGAGCTTTGCTCTCTCATGGGCCTACGAACAGAGTACCCCGCCACGACCTACCTGGTGCGCGACCGAGCTTTCTACATGGAGACCCTGATTGCGCTTGTAGAAAAGCGACCGACCTTCAAAGACAATGTTCGCGAGATGCCCGTATTACCAACAGAGAAGGTCCTGTACGAGACTACCTTCCTGCGAAACGAGTCTTACGACGGATCAAGACCACTCGCTATACCGAAACTCAACCTTCAGTACCTGACCATGGGCGACTTCTTGTGGAGATCCTTCATCCTGTACCGCGCCGAGTCCTTCTACGGTATCCGGAAGGACATGGAGGACGTGGTGAAGCGCGTGAAGCCCAAGGGTAAAGGTGTCAACACCAAGTTCGGTGGCGTTTCCAAGATGTCACTCCCTATCATGAAGCCTGCTATCGTCGACGTAGCACCTTCCAAGGTAGGCGAGCAGCACCCAGCATACGTTCGTGCCGAGATCATATTGGACGTCAGTCGCCTGCAACACCCAGTACGAAGGGATTGGGAACAGCTAAGACCGGATGATGTAGTCTTCCTCCTTGCTGTTGAGGGTAAAGACGACGTTTCCATGCGCAATGGTCACCGCGAGGATGTCACAACTGGAGAACAGCTTGGCTTGCACCGAATGAGATGCGCCCAGGTGGTTCAAGTTCTGGACGACAAAGGCCGGCCTCTGCGCGAACAAGGCCGCGACGACGGCTTTGGACCTCGGGTGCGCCAACGACGACTCCTTGTCAATATCGACGCGAAGCAGTACCAGACCGACATGGACCAAACTGCCGAAGGAAGGCCAGACGTTTACGAGCACATCAACATGATTGTCCGTCGGAGAGGACGGGAAAACAACTTCCTGCCCATTTTAGAATCCATCAAGCGCCTGACCCTCTCAGACATCCCAGCACCATCTTGGCTCCAAGAGGTCTTCCTAGGATATGGTGATCCCGCATCGGCAACGTACAAGCGACTTCCTAACAAACTGAACAAGATAGATTTCCGGGATACCTTCTTGGACTGGCAGCACCTGATCGAGGCAATGCCTGGCAAGTCTATCGAACCCCACGAGGACGCACAGACATCCTTTGGGCCTCCATACGTTGTGGAGTACCCTGCTGCAGGTGAACCAAATATCGCACCTCCTCGAGCATCCAAAAAGCGGCGTCGCGACCAGAAAGTGGTTGCACAACCTCTGCATGAATCGCTTCACGTATCCTCGTACAAACCGCCGAACATGGGACCATACCCTGCAGATGCGCCGAGGCTGAATGCGGTCAGATTTACATCTGCCCAAATTGAAGCTATCACCTCGGGCACACAACCTGGTCTCACGGTAGTGCTCGGACCCCCGGGTACCGGCAAGACGGACGTTGCGACCCAAATTATATCCAATCTATACCACAACTTCCCGGACCAGCGGACTTTGCTCGTCGCGCACAGTAATCAGGCGCTTAACCAGCTTTTCCAAAAGATTACTGCGCTTGACATCGATGAGCGTCATCTTCTGCGTCTGGGTCATGGTGAAGAGGACCTCGAGACTGATGTCAGCTACAGCAAGCATGGACGTGTAGAGTCATTCCTCGAGAGAGGGCAATACTACCTGTCTGAAGTCGATCGGTTGGCGAAGAACTTCAACGCGCCCGGTGCTCATGGTAGCTCGTGCGAGACTGCAGACTACTTCAACCTTGTATATGTGAAGCCAGCATGGACGCAATACTGGGATAGTGTTACAACCGAGGACACAAGCGTTGACCAGATAATCACTGAGTTCCCATTCAGAGACTACTTCTCAAACGCACCGCAGCCTCTCTTCCCTCAAGCAGCAGATCGCGAACAGATTCTTGAGATTGCGCAAGGTTGCTATCGCCATGTCGAGAAGATCTTCACCGAGCTTGAGGACATCCGTCCGTTTGAGATCTTGCGGAACCCGCGGGATAAGGCAAACTATCTGCTGATCAAAGAAGCCCGTATCATTGCCATGACATCGACACATGCTGCCATGCGGAGACAAGAGATTGCTTCGTTAGGCTTCCACTACGACAATGTCATCATGGAAGAAGCCGCTCAGATCACCGAGATCGAGAACTTCATTCCTCTCGCGCTGCAAAACCCCAAGGATGGCGAACTCCCGCTCCAGCGGATCGTTCTCTGCGGTGACCATCTCCAGAACTCACCTGTCATTCAAAACCTCGCTTTCCGCCAGTACGCCAACCTGGAGCAATCCCTCTTCCAACGACTCGTCCGCCTCGGTGTGCCGACTATCATGCTCGACCAGCAAGGTCGTGCTCGCCCGTCCATCGCCGAACTCTACAGGTGGCGCTACCCCTCACTGTCGAACCTGCCCTCCGTCCTGTCCAAACCCGAGTTCCAGGTCGCCAACCCAGGCTTCAAGCACGAGTACCAGTTCATCGACGTCCAGGACTACAAGGGCAAGGGTGAAGACCAACCCACACCGCACTGGATGATCAATCTGGGTGAAGCCGAGTACGCAGTCGCGCTATTCATGTACATGCGTCTACTGGGTTATCCAGCGAGCAAGATCTCCATCTTGACGACGTATG